GATGAATTTCGATCGGCGCTATGCTCTGTGCATTCAAAAACTTTATCACTGACCGCACTTCACAGTCGGCGGGAGCTGGAATAAGAACCTCCATCTTCAACAGCTGCAACGATGCTACTGTGAGAACGCGGGAAGTACCGTTAGTGCATGCGCCATGCTACGTCATTGCTCTATCACGTACGCACAGTCGCTTCGCTCAATATAAGGTTTGCTAGCTGTGGGACGAGTGGGAAACTTACTTTGAGGACGCGCCTCGTATATCGGATTCTCAAAGACCCATCCACAGGCATCGAGAGTACTATGACAACGTGCGAAAGTGTTCCGCGTTTTTGTATTAAATCATTGCAATCTTTGGCCTCTACTTGGAGTAAAGCTCATTTATTTTAGACACACATCAATCTATTGCTGACAAACCTGATAAACAGTAGAGACATTACACTAGCATTATAGTCGTTTTACGCGGTAAACCGGTCGGCACGGCGCGTTCTTGGGGGTGCTGACGGAGGAGGTGCGTGTAGCCTACAACGGATGGTCCTCGAGCTTTGCGTTTGGTTCTAACAACTCCCCGCACAGAAGATGGACAGGGCATGTAGCGCGCATGGGCAAATTAGAAATGCATACAAATTTTTTGTTGGAAATCCTGTAGGAAAGCGACCACTTGGAAGATCCATAGCTCTAATCCTTTCAGTTAAATATTGTCGGTTTTATATAGCGGCACGTGGATGTTGAAATGTGGAAATACTACTGTCTGGATCAACTACAAGAGTCAAAACATTGTCAGTTTAGATACATTTGCATCTGTCTGAAGTATACATGTAGGATTGTCTAGGTTTACAGTCTGTTGCTGGTCTTGAATCTAAAATTGCTGTGGGCTTTGTCGTATCTTTCTTGTTCAGGGACCCTGTTACCTAACTTCACAGGCTAAGTCTTGACCTTTGGCCTCTTTTTCAATTTCAGAGATCAGTATATAGCTACTAATTGACAGAGCTCTGTATATGAAGTGGCACTATATTGTTTTGATTTGAGAGTGCTGTAAAATAACATCTAGCCTTTAAAAATGTTTGTTTGGACTTTGTCCTTCATTTGAATTACAACATTGCAATGTTGAAACTGTCAGGGTCCGAGGCTAGCTCAAACATGGTACCCAACAGCCCATTTCTTTTTGCATGAAGACTGAAGAAAGTTCAGATTCCAAAACGTATGGCCTTGTTTCCAAAATGGTCTTCAGAAATCTTCATTCTTCAACATCAGCCTGTTGTCATGAAGGGGTATGGGGTACGTAAGTCTGTAGCAGTCAAATTGATTTTTCTTTTGTTATGTTTACTGGGATTCACAGATTGAAGGTCTTGGAGAACGGGATGCAGAAAATTGCATAATGATGAGATCTGTAATTTGTCCTCTTCACGAAATATATCCAACCTAAAAGGGACTTAAGGATGCTCAGATAATCGAAAATGTTGGGTAATATAAAAGGCTAATGAAAAAGAGGAGGGTTAATAACAACTGAGTTTAAAAGTTAGTTTTCAATATTTAGTGTAAAGAAAATACATATGGCATCAAATGAAAAAATCTCACAAAAACAGAATTGAATAAAATATAAATTTGTAAATGAAAGGATTTATTTTTTGAAGAAGTTGGTAATGGGTATTTGCTTCTAAGCCTTTCTTTGTGGCAACAGTAGTACTTCTGTAGCAACTGAGTACAGACAATGTAGAAAGTGCATTGGTGGTGAAGTGGAGCATTTATCCGAAATGGCATGTCGGATAAAACAGAATTTCAGATAGCCAAAGGTGGAGGATTGGGACTCTACTGTATTGAATACGTAATTATTTTCTTATTATCTGATTAAATGCAAAATAACTGAAAGAAAAGTATAACCAATTATACAAAATATTTGATGTGTTAAATTAATAAATCTGTTCACTATTGTAGGAATTTTTGTTTGACTTGTTTGAACTTCTTAATATTGAAAGAGTCTTTTAGTCAGTCCTGCAGAATTAATGTTACTATTTATTGTTTCTTTGCAGATAAGAAGTCTGAAGACAAAATGAAGGTTGTAGAAAAGGTAGAAGAAGAATCATCTGCAGGTGTGGTAAATGGACATGATGCAAGTATCACAAACAATTCTGTAACTAATGGACACAGCATTTTGACCACCAACGGACATGAAGAGGATGCTAGTGCAAGCGAACTGGGTAGTGATTATACAACTAACAGTAGTGCTATAACATCTGTGACTAAAAGTCAGGACAGTGACAGTTCAGGTGTAAATAGTGTGATCATTGCTCACAATGAATCTGAGGAGAACATTGTGGAGAAAGGTGAGGTGGAAGCCACCAAAGAGAAAGAGAAGGACGACAAAAAAGATGATCAAGAGATAGTGTTAATACAGGATTTGGGGTTTACAGTTAAAATAATGAGTCCTGGGACTGAACCATTTGACATACAAGTCTCAAGCATGGAGCTAGTCCAAGAAATTCATCAACTGTTAATGGATCGAGAAGATACCTGCCATCGAACCTGCTTCTCACTACAGCTTGATGGAAATACACTTGATAACTTTGCAGAATTAAAGAACATTGAGGGATTGAAGGAAGGATCTGTTATCAAGGTTAGTTTTTAGCCCATTTCCTTATTTTGTAAAAAAATCTTTGTTGATCTTCACTTCGTGTTACAGGTTGTTAAAACCTGTACTGACTTCACATACTCGTTCCGTCTTCTCTGTCTTCTTTTGTATGTGCATTTTTCTATGAAGTATCTGAGCACTCAGATTTTAGTGAGGAAGTTGCCAGTTCACATGCCATAATATTTGATAGTATTTTTTCCAGTTTATTGTGTAACACTTAAATGTGATTATTTTGTCATGAGGAGATCTCGAGGGTGTTTAAAAATAATTACTTCTGATAGTACACTTTAGAGCAGTGGTCCCCAACGCGGTGCCCGCGGGCGCCATGGCTTTTCTTGGGTGCCCGTGTTGTTACGGAAGAGGTTATACTGAATAATGAAGGCCGTTCAACCATGAACATTATAAAATCAAAGCACAGATCTCGACTTACTGACGCCCATCTTGGTGATTGTTTGTGAGCAGCAACATCATCCTACACTTCCAAATTTGAAAAACTGGCTGATGAAATGCAGTGCCAAACATCACACTAACTTCCCACTTGAGTAATAATAATCGTACTTATAAAACTACGTATTTTTGATTGCGTGGTTTCTTGTATCATTAAACGTTGTGTTGTTTTGCATATTATTTGGTATCCATATCTTATTTGTCCAGAGAAAAGAAAATTTGGCTTTGTTAATTGGGTGGTGCCCGCTACGATCTCATAAACTCTCAAATGTGCCCGTAGGCACAAAAAGGTTGGGGACCACTGCTTTAGAGTATGATTATGTAAGTGTGATTCTGACCCAGTCCGCATGTCCTTCCTCTGTAAAATCCATCTTAATATTTTCCTCCTATATCCTTCTCAGTTTTCCAAGTGGCTGCTTTGTAACTTGTTTCATTATCAGTATTCTGTATGAAATTATTGGTTTCCCCTTTTTTAACTAGAGGTCAAGCCAGTGATAATCTCCTTGATTTTACCAACCAAACAATACTACGTGATGTTTATAAATGACAGAGCTTCTCATTATGTAATATCCTAAATTGTTCACTTATTACACTTTGGCCCAAGTATTTTGTTGATCATTTTATTTTGTAAGTCTTTTAATTTGTCTGCTTTCCTCGGCATAATAGACCTTTAATCTAGGACTACTGTTTTTGTCCGGGGATTGAGAGTAGCGCCTTCCATTCAAAGAAATTAGGTTTTATGTTTTTACCTGATGGCATAAACATTTCTTTAGAGAGAGATAGAAAAGAGGGGACAAAAGGAAAATGTACAAGAATGTGTTTGTTTGTAAGATACCATATTTTACAGCCATACAAAACAATTAACAACACTGTTTATATATGGTGGTTTGGCTAGTGGATGCAATGATGTCAGTTTCATAACCTGAATATTAACAAGTTTTTCCTTTGTTTCTTGCTATATTTAATCATGAACTTCATTTCTGTTTGTTCTTGTTACTCCAAGGTGATTAAAAGTTTGAAATGTTTCTAAATTATTTATTCCATTACAGTTGATTAAACACCAAAACATCGTCTCCTACAGCTAAAGTTTATTTGCGGCATCTCACAAATTGCAGCTGGCATAAGTATGAAAGGAAATGATATAAATGGTAACATAGATGTGTTTATGCATTAAAATTTGTTAAATTATGATGGTGAAGTTAGTTGCTTGTTTATTTTTTATTTGTGCTTAAAAGAAGAAGACATGCATAATTTGTCTGTTTAATGAACTATTTTAAATGCTTTTATTTGTATTCTTACAGGTTGTGGAAGAACCATACACTATGAGAGAGGCAAGGATCCATGTCAGACATGTTCGTGATTTGTTGAAGTCACTGGACCCAGCAGATGCATACAATGGAGTAGACTGTAGTTCTTTATCCTTCCTTAATGTTGTCACTCAAGGTGATATACTAGGTATATCAAAATATTAAATACTTTACTAGTCACATAAATTTACATTCTTCTTCAGTTTAATTTGTAAGCATGCATAATGGAGACATCTGTTATGTAGGTAGGTGTGATAATTAGAAATATACAACTGTTGTAAATACAGTTTTTCATTTTAAAACATTGATGGCTGCTTTAAATCTGTATTTAACTTCCAGTTGATGTGATAAGTAACGAACCATTGGAGCTAAGCATGTAGATTCATTGTGCAGATAGATTAAAAATTATATATATATCGTGATAATTGCACAACTTTGAGGTTGTCTTATGGACTTATCATTGTGAAAATCTGTGCTAATAAAAATTATGTGTAGGACTGAATCACTAAATTATACAATCGTTAATTTATAGTTACAGACAGCCTCAATGATTGAAGCTACTGAAGGAGAGCAGGCATCACAAGTTTTTCACAGAACTTCTTGGTTTGTGCTAAAATGGATATATTTTGATAACAGAGAAAAAGAAGAGTCGACCTGAGAGTGTAGACTGCACACCTCCAGATTACATAATGCCAGGAAGTAAAGAGAGGCCATTGATGCCACTGCAACCCCAGGTGAAAGAACAGAAGGGTCCGCAGACAGTGAAGGTGTTAACAACTTCTGGATGGAATCCACCACCTGGTTTCCGCAAGATGCACGGTGATCTTATGTATCTATATCTGGTTACTTTAGAAGAGAAACATTATCATATCACTGCCTGTGCACGTGGATTTTTTGTGAATCAGTAAGTAAACAGAATATTGTCAGGTAATATTTGAAGGTATCAGAAGTGTTCAGTTTTATGTAATTTAATTACGTTTATGAATTTCTGTTTTCCCATTTTTAAAATAATTCTTTCCAGATCTTCTGAAGAGTATTTTAACCCAAAGCCTGCCACACCAAGCCACTTGTGTCATGCTTTGATTGAGCTGTTAAATCAAATCAGTCCTGCATTCAAACGAAACTTCTCCATACTTCAGAAGAAGAGGACACAACGACACCCATTTGAGAGGGTTGCAACGCCATATCAATTGTATTCATGGAGTGCTCCACAAATGGAACACACAGTCGATGCAATCAGAGCAGAAGACAGTAAGTCCTTTCAACTGTACCATACTAAGACTCAGTTATCAGTAGTAGTTGGGGGGGGGGG